GCTGTTGCTAATATTTTCATCTCTATTACATTCTCCTTGAGTTGCCTGACCTCTGCGCAACATGGCTTAAGAATAACCTCACTGGGACTTTGCCGAATGAAAATGATAGCCTGTTTATTGGCTGTCAGCAACAAGTGGGGTGCCAAAGCAGTGGGGAAGAGCCAATGAATGAAGCCCGGTCTACCCATGTGGCAGAAAAAGGTGGCAGAAACCTGGACTGGCAGAGTGGACTGAACACATTCAACGCTCCAGGTGGAAGATCATGTTTTTGTATGTTTCCCCTGTGAAACTTCCTGCAAGGAGAAAACACAAAGAAGAGCAACCTAGGCTGCAATGTAACTCTCTGACAACAGATTTCTTACTGGAAGGTGTCCCGCCCCTCCCCCGTAACGTAAGTAAGGTAAAGGGACCCCTGACCATTAGGGTCCAGTCGTGGACGGACTCTGGGTTCGCGGGCTCATTTCGCTTTACTGGCTGAGGGGAGCCGGCGTACAGCTTCCGGGTCATGTGCCAGCATGACTAAGCCACTTCTGGCGAACCACAGCAGCGCACGGAAATGCTGTTTACCTCCCGCTGGAGCGGTAACCTCATTATCTACTTGCACTTTGACGTGCTTTCGAACTGCTAGGTGCAGAGCTGGGACCCGAGCAACGGGAGCTCACCCCCGTCACAGGGATTCGAACCGCGACTTCTGATCACAAGTCCTAGGCTCTGTGGTTTAACCCCACAGCGCACCTCCGCTCCTGTACAGTACCCCCGTAACAGTAGAAGCATTAAAAAAAAAAGTGCCATTGACGCTCAGTCTTATAATGTTCCGTAGATTCTGCTGCATTGTGTAAAGCAGGCCTCAGTGGTTTTGGGATCCAGAATTGCCAAGTAAAACAAGGGGGATGCAGAAAGGAAGGGAAAACCTCATATTGGCCTGGTAATATGGTACTAATGCAAAGAGAGCCTAGAGATGTGAAGGCAAAGGAGGGGGAGGGGGGATATCAGAATCCCTCCCTTTTCCCTCATTTTTCTCCTGAGGCCTGAAGTGGAGAAACTGAAGACTTGGGAGTAAATTAAAAATTCATCTTAAGAAACATGCTCTCTTGCAGATTATGCTGAAATGCTTTTTAATTTTTTATTTCATTTATGAATCTGCTTCCTGTAAAACGTACCCAAGCAATTTAACCATAAAAACATATATCAAAACAAAAATCAAGTCCAATACAGATGAGGACTGGGATAAAACTCTTCACTGAAAAGGCTTGTTGTAAAAGGAAACCTAAAAGACGAGCCTGAAAGTTACTGCGAGGCTGCTCCAAAATGTAGGTGCCACACAATAAAGGTTTGGGGGTGATAGGAAACTTAACTAGTTCTGTCAGTAACCTGTGCAAACAAGTTTCACTCTCAGACAGCAGCTGAGTGTGGCGTGGCCAGAGGAACTGAGCAGCTTGTCAGAGATGAGATGCAGGTTTTGGCAGCAGCAGAGTAAGAAGTAGCACAGGCAAAAGTGAAGCATGTCTCATTCCACTTCTACAAACCCCTTCCTTGCAGTTCACACTGTTCTTTCTGAGTGGGTGATGCAGACAGAATACAGTGGTACCTCAGAAGTCGAGCGGAATCCATTCTGGAAGTCGTTCGACTTCCAAAATGTTTGGAAACCAAGGCGCTGCTTCCGAATGGCTGCAGGAAGTTCCTGCAGCAAACCGGAAGCTGGTGGAAGCCGCATGAGACTTTCAGGTTCCAAAGAACTTCCCGGGTTTGCAGTGTTCGGGAGCCAAAACATTTGACTCGCAAGGCGTTTGGAAGCCAAGGTACGACTGTATCATACTGGATTAGGTAGAACATCATATTTAAGGTAACGTAGGATGCAGCTCAAATTCCAACAGTGGCACTAGATTGCATCCCTATTGTGTCCCTCTGCTCCATGGAGGCTCTTTGGTCCCAGCTTGATGCTTCTTTGAAGTGGGGGAGGAGTTAATCCATCCCCTGCTGCCCCACCCATCCAAAATCTGCTCCAGAGGGTCGAGGGACCCTTTGGATCACGAATGGGACATGGCATGGGGAGGCTGCAAGAGAAAGGAGGAATTTGTAAAAAATAATAATTGACCTCTCCCTTCCATGCATGGAAGCCCTCCACTGGCAAAAAAAGAACATTCTGTAAGGTAAGGGATACAACTGAACACAAACCTAATATTTGTAGCTATTGTTTTAAAAAAAACAACAGCATAACTGCAGTTATGCTGTTTTATTTCAGAACTGTTGCTGCTGGGCATCTATCTGTCTCAAGAGACAAGAGAGTGTGACTCCAGGGTGAAGTCAAACTGCTGTGTTGGCACCACCCAAGTGACTCCCTGGACACAATCCCGGGAAGCTTATATGAAGGTTCTGACAAGACCCACCCCCACCCCCGCCAAGAAAGCAGAGCAATATGCTGACACAAGCTTGGCTGTAGGATCGCGGAAGGAGGCGTACAAGGTGCCATCTAAGTCATCTTACGGGAACTCTTCTCCAGATTTCTCCCAAAGATATCCCACAAGGCAGCGGAGGTTTAGGGTCAACGTTTTCTTCTCCTAGATGGGCTACCTTCCCAAGTTGACAAGTCCCATCTGCCCCCCACTTCCCTCTTAAAGCACGCGCAGAAACCGCCTTCTTGACTGTTGGACCCACTCTTGGTCTTGTCACACTCAATCCACCGGAATCTGTCTTTGCATGTAGAGGAAGTCCCCTAACTCACAGTTTGAGACCCATTTGGGCTACCCTCATCTGGTTCAGCTGGTCAGTCAAGCTGTTTCCTGGGGTGTGGCTGATGTTTCTAGGAGCCGCAGGTGAGAGCTGAGTGCAGGGTGAGGACCAAAGGTGGGCAAACTGCCCCAGAAGGAGCATGACATGTCCTCACCCAAAAAATCCCTGTTCTAGGACTACATAGAACAATACAATTTTATGTGCTGCTAAGTTGTCTTTCACGTTCTTAAAGTAGCAAAGTAAGATCATATTTGATGAGTACTTTTCTCCAAAATGCCTCTGGAAACAAAACACACACACACACACACACACACACACACACACACCATACAAAATCTCCATGACTCAAGATTTCCACAAATGTTCATCTCTGTCTACTCTGATTGGGTTTAGACTTGGATTTGGTAGCACGCCCACGTGTGGAAGGAAAGGCAAGTCTATATGTGAAGCAGAAATAGCACGACTGGTGTCACAAAAGGGTTGGGAACTGCAAACGGGCCACTGGCAGGAATTGATTTATCATCAAGGCAAGAAACAAAATGAAAAGGAAAGTTTCGTGTAATGTAAAAGCCTCTGTGCTCTGCCACTACTTACAGCCAGCACAATATAAAACTCTGTTCCATTTTGTGCTGTCTGAAAATATTATCTTTAACATCACTATTCTTGGTCCTCTGCATACCTGTAGTATGAAGGCAATCTTAGCACCATCCTTATAATTCAATTCTGATTCTCGGAGATTTCGGAGCATACGTTTGTATTTCAGGAAGGCTTCCCTCTTGCGAGCCTCGTTATCCAGCTTGCAGCACAGACGACAACGGCCAACAGTGTGTGAACTAGCAGATATGGCAAAATCCGTAGAGGGCAGGTACCTTTTGCAACCAAGGCAAAAGTGGATGTTTTGGTAAAGCCTCATTGGATCAGGTGGAACCTGCAATGAAAAACAGATTTGCTATAATATATACAATATATACAATAACAGTATTTTCCACATTCAGTCATTAGCCTGGCCCACAGATCTTGTCCCAAAGTACAGTAGCCGCTGACAACTGTATGCATAGAAACCTTTGAAATTGAAGAAATATATATCTACAAAACAATTCTGCTGCAGCACAGCATGCAGCCTGTCAAATGCAATCTGTTTCCCCATTATATACAGTAAACCGAGTGATTATGAACATATTTTTGAAGTTTGATATGTGAGGATGGGTTTAAAGGGCTAAATATTCTGCTAAATTATATAAAAACACTTTGAGAAGAATGAAATTGTCCATATGGACTACTATGGTTGTGTTTTTGAGACGATGCAGAGCAAGAGATGAAGGCAGAAACACTAAAGGCTTCAGAAACCATTGTTTAGTCATTTATTTTATTTTTATCTCTTTATTCCTTTATTGCCAATGCAACCTACTACAAAAATTATATAGAATGATCTCCTTTTAATTGCCATAACGATTTTGAAGAAGCAGTAAGTGCACATTTTAGTTATGGTCCTTCTCTATATTTGCCAATAACAACACGTGTTTGTTTTGAGGAAATATTTTTCATTTTTCAGTTTTATATGTGTGCCCTTTCACTTTCAGTGCCTTCAACCTTTTACAAAACAGAGAATATCAGCTGCAAAGCTGATAAAACCCACCCTCCAGCTAGCATTCAGTTGCTTTGACAGAAACACTTTAAAATACTTTATTTAAAACAGTTTTAAACACACACAAATTATCAGATGGTTAGAATGCTATTCTCATGTGTGTTTTGTGCAATAAAGTTAAATAAGAAGAGAAGCACCCATTTCTTTTCAATGTGGTTTCATGCACTCAAACCTGTCTGGCATTTTCAGTGCCAAATGAGCAGCTCTTCCAGCATACTAAGTAAGTAATTAGTTTGGTTTGTCTGGTTGCCACTAATGTTCTTAAAACTGCTTTAAATGTTATTTCTGAGACTGGCATTCCTGCCAAGGTGTATTAAATCCAAACATAGCTATCCTATAGCCTTGGTCTCCAGATGCAATGACTCAGAAGCCCAAATTTTTGGGGAGAAATAAAGCTGTAGCCAATAACCCTGTTCAACATTTCTCCATTCTAGTTTCATGATGCTGGCTGAAAAAAAATTGCCTCTGGCCTAAAACCAATCTGCTTGTATCAGCAGAAAGTTACTTGTTCTTCTGACAGATGTCATAATCACCAGAGAATGGTGACATCTCCATGAAAATGACATATAAATATGAGTGCCATCTGAATGATTTCAGCAAGGCACCTTGAATTTTGTAATCATGTTCATCTTACCTTTTCATGGAACGCAATAAGTTCAAGCTCAGTAACAATGGCAACACTAACATTTATAGCTCAACATGCTTGAACCATACAGCCTTGGCAGATTATCCTCATATGATAAACGGAAGACAGAGACTGCAAAAATAATAACTTGACTAAGGCAATTTAATGTGTCTAAAGTGCAACTTGAGCTTGACTTCCCAGCTCATACTCTTAGCCACTGTTATCAGTTTGTTTTAGAAGAAGAAGAAGAGTTTGGATTTGATATCCCGCCTTTCACTCCCTTTAAGGAGTCTCAAAGCGGCTAACAATCTCCTTTCCCTTCCTCCCCCACAACAAACACTCTGTGAGGTGAGTGGGGCTGAGAGACTTCACAGAAGTGTGACTGGCCCAAGGTCACCCAGCAGCTGCATGTGGAGGAGCGGAGACGCGAACCCGGTTACCCAGATTACGTGACTACCGCTCTTAACCACTGCACCACACTGGCTCACAGTTTTACTGCTTTCCATGTTGATCTCTTCCTATTAACTAGGGGCAAGTTTGCACCCTTTGTCCTGCTGTTTAGAAGCGATACCTGGGTTTCATTCATACACACAGCACAGCCTTCTCAAAACGTCTTCAGTTGAATAATTGAATAAGGAAAAAGAAACCATTCCTCTCTCCATTATGCAGAAATTCAACTGCCTCTGGGTAGACTATGGACTCTTTAGCAAGTAGTTTTACTTAGCTGCATGCCAAGGAACAACTGTAACAGAGAAGAAAAGGAACAAAATACCTTGAGATGTCGAGCAACCTCTGGATTAAAAAGTGGTGTTTTGATATACTGAAGAAATAATGTACATATTCTTTGTCTGAGCCCGTCTAAGTTACATTCCTTCACTCCCCTCATCATGAGGTCTGCTTCTCTGTCAATCAATTCCACTATCTCATGTGTGAGTTTAGAGTCATGTTCCTGCAAAGGCAAGCAAGATGTTTAGCAAATCACATGCACCTCATTTCTTAATTCCTTACACCGATTGCATGTCAATTATGAGAGAGCAAATGCTCCAAGGCTTCTTAAAGCTTAGCTTTTTGGGGAATGGGAATCGTGTATCCACACACCTATCTCACTGTCTTTAAATAACTGTCTGTCCAGATCAATTTTATGCTTTGTTTATATATAGAAAGTGTTCACTGACTGGAGTGAATAAGAGCTCTTTCCCACCAATGCAGTATCAAGCACAGTCCTGCCCAGACCAGACTGGTACTACAGTGTATGTGTGTGTTTGTGAGAGTGCATGTGTGTGCTTGCTAGCTCTGGGATGGCTCAGTTGATAGAGCACGAGACTCTTAATTTCAGGGTTGTGGGTTCAAGCCCCATGTTGGGCGAAAGATTCCTGCATTGCAGAGGGTTGGACTAGATGGCGCTTGTGGTCCCTGCCAACTCTACAATTGCCGTATTTTTTTTGCTCTATAAGACTCACTTTTCCCCTCCTAAAAAGTAAGGGGAAATGTGTGTGCGTCTTATGGAGCGAATGCAGGCTGCGCAGCTGTCCCAGAAGCCAGAACAGCAAGAGGGATTGCTGCTTTCACTGCGCAGCGATCCCTCTTGCTGTTCTGGCTTCTGAGATTCAGAATATATTTTTTCTTGTTTTCCTCCTCCAAAAACTAGGTGCGTCTTGTGGTCTGGTGCGTCTTATAGAGCGAAAAATACAGGTATATAACTTATTTAACACACCTGTGTTCTATGACTCTATGAGAGTGTGCATGAATAAGAAGGTTAAAGGTCCTTACACCACACCAGGCTCTTAATGCAAATTGGACAGACATGCGATATTTACTTGTAAATAGCTGAACAGTGTGTGGTACAGTTTGGCTCCGATGCTTCCTGAAATCAAAGGGATTTTCCTTCCTGGCTGTTTGGGTTTGGGATTGAGCTCAGCATATTTTGAACCGTAAACTGCCTTGGCAAAAAGGGGATATATTAATGCAGCAAATAAATCCACCTATACAGGTTTATTCAGATGTCCCGCTATGTTCAAGTGTGCTTAGGACTTCGGTATTACACTTCTTAGCTAATGTAAAAGTATCGGTATATAGTGGGCACCCTGGTGTCGAAAGATGAAAGCAGGGGCCCCTTAAGCCCTTGCAAACCGTCCGTAATTGACAGTGTACTGTGTGTGATCTCAGTAGGGCTTCTTTAAAAGCTTGAGAGAGAGAGATACCTTCACCGTGTGCTTCAGCGTTAGCAGCACATCCAGCCGTTCATCCTGCGGAAGGTCTTTCATACTAATGCTGCGGTAGATTTCGAGCAGCTCCCTGGCCCGCAGCGTGAACTGCGTATCCATCTCGGTAACTTTGCCATCAAATGCTTTCCACTTTTTGGGGGCTGCACACTTGAGAAACATTTTGAATCGCCGAGTTAGAATGGAGAAAGGAATCATGGACAATGCTTTACAATGCGACCAAAGGAAGCTTATAGAGTCTACAAATCTGACGCCCTGCTAATAAGAACTGCCGCTGTCCCAAGAAATGTGCAACTATCTGAAACGAGACATTTTCCTGTCCATTTTAGTAGATTTGTTGCCAAATGGCAGTTTCCTAGCGAACACAAAACCAAATAAACAATAATTAGAAGCGGGGGGGAGAGAGAGACTGTTCATTCCATACACTATAGCTTCCTTGGTAATTTACTGGTTGCTGTCAGAGTACAGTGGTACCTCGAGTTAAGTACTTAATTCGTTCCAGAGGTCTGTTCTTAACCTGAAACTGTTCTTAACCTGAAGTACCACTTTAGCTAATGGGGCCTCCTGCTGCTGCCGCGCCGCTGGAGCACAATTTCTGTTCTCATCCTGAAGCAACGTTCTTAAATTGAGGTACTATTTCTGGGTTAGTGGAGTCCATAACCTCAAGCATATGTAACCTGAAGCGTATGTAACCCGAGGTACCACTGTACAACTAAAAACCAGTATTATTCCATAATAAACTCTGCTAATGCATGGAGATGAACGAACATCAGGACTGCCACCAACATTCTCAAAATATGGAAACAATTCGTTCATCTTTGAACAATGTAACAACAATAACAACAGCAGTTTTATTATTTATTACAACAACTTTATTATTTATACCCCGCCCATCTGGCTAGGTTTCTCCAGCCACACTGGGAGTTTGGGATTCTATGAGTGTGACGATAACTTTATACGGTACCTGCTGAATTTCTGCCTGCCTTACTGCTGTTGAAGCCACAGCCCTTCTTTTAGGAGAAGGGGTTGTGATGCTAGATGAAAGATCCTTCATAAGATAACGGAAGTCAATGGAGAGCAAATAACCATAAGAACACCAGAGCATCCCTGCAGGTTCAGGCCAAAGGCACATCTAAGTCCAGCATCCTGTTCTCACAGTGACCAACCAGATGCCTGAAAGCAGAACCTGAGGACAAGAATGCTCCTGAGTGTGATTCCCAGAGACTGGTATACAGACGGATGCTGCCTTCAACTAATAGCCTTATTGGCCATAATTCCCTTTTAAAGTCATTCAAGTTGGTGGCCATTGCCACGTCTTGTGGGAGCCAACTCCACAGTAGCCATGTGCTGTGTGAAGAAAGAATTTTCTATCTGTCCCAAATATACAGCTTCATTGGATGCCCCCAAGTTTATTGGATGTCCCCAAGTTCTAGTACTATGAGCGAGAGAGATAAACTTTCCCCCCATCACAGGGGAGTGAATTGCTCCATCCCCCTGAATATACTGCCATTTTTCTAAACATTTCTAAACCTTTTTCAGCTCTGCAATACCCTATTTGAGGATAGATTCCTTTTCAGCCAGAAGTTGTGTCCTTTTTCTGTCGCTGTGCAAGCTTGATGATGTCATGCACGGGAAAGGTGCGTTCTCGAGCCCTGCTGGCTTTGGATAAAAAGCCCTTTTCTCGCCCCTTGGACGAGTCAGCTCCCTCCAGATTTCAGAATCTGGCTGTCTAAGAGTTTGACAAAAATGCCCCAAATATTAGCCTCAGACCTATGGCCCAATTTTCATGCTCCTTTTCCGGTCAATGAGATGCATAGGAGCCCATCCATACTTACCTCTTGCCATGAGCTTTTTAGCTACAGGTCCACGCTTTCAAGCTCTATGCCAGAGTGCGTCCCCCCTGGCTCTGCTTTCCTCAAGAAAACCTGCTCTTTAACACTGAATCGGAACAAACAGCAATTCTGTGGATTGCCATTTGCTCCAATTCAGCGGCAAAGAGCAGGTTTTCATGAAGAAAGCACTGCAGCAAAAGAAAAAGAAGTGCTTGGACACAGAGCTTAAAAAGAGATATATTAAAACATATATTCACAAGTCACAATACAGCTTTGTCCACTGCCCTGATATCACAGAACGATCACTCCAATCCTGAATCCCACATCACTGTCATGTTGGCTCATCTAATATCCTCAATAGGAACCCAATTACTGATCTGGTTGGCTAGACATTTTCAATCAATATATCCCCTCCACAGACACCTCTGTGATGATGAGGGCATTGAAATATCCTGTTCTTCTTCAATAAAAGAGCTTTAAAGCATGGACCTATGCCTAGAAATGAGCCCCTTGTCTGTGTGACTAAATCCTCAGCCCAGGGCTAGCCTTTTACCTCCCAGCAAAGACCAAGGCTGGCATGAATAACTGAACAAGGATGGGTAAGTAGGGGAGATTTCCAATCCTAGCTTGTGGCAATATTCTCTCTCTCTCTTTCCACTCAAAAAGCTTCAACTGATCCAGATTAGCTCAAGAGCTTGTTCCTTGTTCTCACACTTATAGCAACACAAAGAGCTGTTAGACGGTTGGGTCTTTCTAGCTGAGTATTATCCACACTGACTTGCATTGGGTCTTCAGGGTTTGGGGGCAAGGATCTTACCTGGCTCTACCTGTACATGCCAGGGACTGGACCAAAGACTTTCTGCATGAAAATCAGGTGCTCTACCAACAAACTACATGTACTCCCAAACAATCTCTCACCTGCCTTTAGCAGTCCACCCCTTCTTCCCTGACCATTTAGGTCCTTAAAAAAGGACCTTTAAAAAAAACACTCCAAAGCTGATTATGCTATGTGCTATTCCGAACCCAAGAAGTAATATTCTCAGTTAAGCTCTTCTCTGTACAAAACTCAAATGCTCAGCCAGTTTCCTCTTGGAAGCACAAATCTGTAGAGTGTTAGCATTCATCCATTTTTTCAAGTTATGTAAGCACAAAAAGAGGGAAATAAAAGAAAATAAGAGTTCATAAATGAGAATTTGACAGATTCTTAGCAGGCTTAGTTCTATAATTAAATGAGGGGCTGATCATTGGAACTGACGGGTTGCAGCCAAAACTGATTAAAAAATCCAACAGGAAACAGGCTTGTCTAAATTATGAAGTTCTAAATCTTTCAATTAGAGCTAGCAAACTCCAGCAAAATCGGAAACAGAGGATTGTTGCTCTAGCATAACTAAAGGTTTATTAATTTGTTTTCCCATGCATGCATGATAAAACAAATCCTTCATATAGGACCATAAAGCTTAAGTTCTAAGCCTGTATTTTAGTAAGTCGGGTTTTGGTTTTTTGAAAGCCAGTGCTAACAGATGAGTTTTTTGTTTGAATACACAACTAGTCTTAGCTTATTCAGCTAAGCAAGTGTCCTCTTGCTCTCCTAGCTTAAGATTTATTTATTTTTAAACAAACTATAGGTTTGTATCCAACTACATTCTACTCAAAGTAAAAGGTAAAAAGGTAAAGGACCCCTAGACGGTTAAGTCCAGTCAAAGGCGACTATGGGGTTGCGGCGCTCATCTCGCTTCAGGCCAAGGGAGCTGGCATTTGTCCATAGACAGCTTTCCGGGTCATGTGGCCAGCATGACTAAACCGCCTCTGGTGCAACGGAACACTGTCATGGAAGCTAGAGCACACGGAAACGCCATATACCTTCCTGCCACTGTGGTACCTATTTATCTACTTGCACTGGCATGCTTTCAAACTGCTAGGTTGGCAGAAGCTGGGACAGACCAACAGGAGCTCACCCCATTTCAGGGATTCGAACCGCCACCCGTCCGATCAGCAAGCCCAAGAGGCTCGGTGGTTTAGAACACAGTACCACCTGCATCGGGGACGCGGGTGGCGCTGTAGGTAAAAGCCTCAGCGCCTAGGGCTTGCCGATCGAAAGGTCGGCGGTTCGAATCCCCACGGTGGGGTGCGCTCCCATTGCTCGGTCCCAGCGCCTGTCAACCTAGCAGTTCGAAAGCACCCCCGGGTGCAAGTAGATAAATAGGGACCGCTTACTAGCGGGAAGGTAAACGGCGTTTCCGTGTGCGGCTCTGGCTTGCCAGATGCAGCTTTGTCATGCTGGCCACGTGACCTGGAAGTGTCTCTGGACAGTGCTGGCCCCCGGCCTCTTGAGGGAGATGGGCGCACAACCCTAGAGTCTGTCAAGACTGGCCCGTACGGGCAGGGGTACCTTTACCTTTACCACCTGCATCAGAGTAGATCCACTTAAATTAATGGACTTAAGTTAGTTATGGCTACTAACCTCAATGGGTCTACTCTCAGTAATTCAAGCATTGGATACAACCCACAAATAAGAACATAATGGTTTTGCTCCAAAGAGATCCTAGGGTAAGCAGTAAGTGCTTCTCCTCAACTAAGTAAAGGTAAAGGTAAAGGGACCCCTGACCATTAGGTCCAGTCGTGGCCGACTCTGGGGTTGCGGCGCTCATCTCACTTTACTGGCCTAGAGAGCCAGCGTACAGCTTCCGGGTCATGTGGCCAGCATGACTAAGCCGCTTCTGGTGAACCAGAGCAGCGCACGGAAGCACCATTTACCTTCCCGCTGGAGCGATACCTATTTATCTACTTGCACTTTGACATGCTTTCGAACTGCTAGGTTGGCAGGAGCAGGGACCGAACAACGGGAGCTCACCCCGTCGCG